AGAGAGAGAGAGAGAGAGAGAGAGAGAGAGAGAGAGAGAGATAGATAGAGAGAGAGAGAGAGAGAGAGAAGATGTGGTCGTTTTACGCTTTTGCGTTGCCGGTAACGTTAGCGATGGTGGTGGTGACGTTGCACCACTTTGCGTCGTCGCAAGTGGACCGCGTTGCGAGATTCACGGTGGGATATGCCTGGTTCGTCTCGCTGTCCATTGTCATACTCGTGCCGATCGACGTATCCTCGGTGAGTACTTACATCTCTTCGCCTTATCTTCTCCTCTCTCCTTTTTTTTTTTTTTTTTTTTTGGGAGCGAGTTCTTACTTCTCTTTCGTGTCTTCTGCCCTCCTTGCCCTCTTTGCCCTCTTTGCCCTCTTTGCCCTCTTTGCCCTCTTTCCATGGTGTGGGGAAGGAGACCGGCATGCCGAATCTTCCTGCCGCTCCGTAGAAGTGAAACAGGCGGGCAAACGTACGCACTGCTTCTCCTTGGCTTCTCTCTCTACCCTGCCTGTCCTTCCCTCCCCCCTTCCTCCATGGACCTTCTGGCCCTTTCAGTTCGGAACATCCCTCTGCTTCTCCTTGGCTTCTCTCTCTACCCTTCTTCTGTCCTCTCCCCGGCCCCCCCTCTTCCCCCCCTTCCTTCTCTGTCTCTCCCTGCGTTCCTCTCCCACCCGATTGTCTGGTCGCCCTCTTCTCCGCCCTCTTCTCCGTGCTCTTCTCCGGCCCCCTCTTCTTCGCCCTCTTCTCCTTAACTTGGCCTTCCCCCCCCCCCTCCCATCCTCTTGTCTCTCTTCCACATTCCGTCTATCGCCTGCTTCCTCTAGTCATGCTCTTCATTGCTTCCTTTGCCTTAAGCTCTTTCTCTTCTATTACCCTCCGCGTTTGCTTTCCCTCCCCCCCACTCCCTCCCGCTCCCCCCCACTCCCCCCCACTCCGGCGGTTTCGTAGTCTTCTCATCGGTGTCTGTCTTCTTCATTCGTCAATATCTGAATAGTGTTTGTGCTCGTCCCCTTTACCTCCTCTGCATCGCGTTGTCGCGCCTCCTCGCTTGCGCTTCTCTTCCTTGCTTCCTGCCTATCGTTCCTCCCCATCCGTTTTGCTCTCGTATCCAGTCTCTTCACATCTCCTTCCCCTTGTCAGCCTCCCTTCACCTCTCTCTCTGCCTCCCTCCTCCCCTCCGTCACCCCTTCCCCCAGTTCCTCCACAAGTGCTTCTCTGGTTTGTCTGTCGTTCCTACTCGCCCCCCC